AAAAAAACAGCTTATGATTTTTTTAGAAACAAGAGACTGAAGAGAGCTTGGGTAGGTACGGTGTGGAATGCTTCTGTTACAAACAAAAATGCATTTATTTTATGGCTTGGAGTGCAGTCCAATCTGCTTACCAAGGACAAACCGATGTTTTTGGATATATATCAAAATTGTTGCTTTTGTAATGGTGATGTGGAGACGGAACAACACTTATTTTTTGCTTGCCATTTTAGTGCTTCAATTTGGGAACAAGTTCGAGGGTGGCTCAGTATTAGACGTTCTAAGTCTACACTTCCAAGTGCCTTGAAGTGGATGAAAAAAAGAGGCTCAGGGGACATCTTGGCATAGTAAGGCCAAAAAGATCGCACGTACTAGTACTGTTTACCATTTATGGACGGCACGGAACATGAAAATTTTTTAAGGTCTTAATGCACAAGTTGAGAGTATTGTTAGACATATTAAAACACTTATACAAAGTTATATTTTCTTTATATCCGCATGTTTTAGTTATTTACGAGTCTTTGACCGCTAGTTGAGTAACTTGTGTATTGATTCTCTTTTGGTTGCCTATGTATGCCCGGTGTTTCTGTGGTTTTTTTGTTTTTTCACTTGTCCTTTGATTCGCCCGGGAATGCTCGGTGTATCCCTCATTTTCTTAAAAGAGGCAATCTTTCATTCACTGTTCATTTTTGTCACACAAGTTTTCACACTTGCCTGTTTCCAATCCAATTTTGCTACAGTACGTAGCCATCTTTGTTGATTATTGCAATTAAATTTATATAAATATCTTCTACATATCTCTTCTAAGAAATATCTTCCAATTCATTCTTCCACTTAAATCTTTTCAGTTCTCACTCTTTGTCTTTCACTTTTCTCTCCCAGTGGCGCCATGAAGTTCCTCGAGTATGGTTCAATTCTCACTCAGTTCTCATATTTCTGTGTACAAAACGTTTACAATCGTTGATATATTATGTGTGTTTTCCTAATGAATATGTTTTGAGTTTTAAGTAATATAATGTATTGAATTTCTGGGGATATCGATTTTTAGCTAATTTGATGAGTGTTCTACTATATTGGGGTTCTAGGTCTATTAACTTTTGAGTAATTAGTTGTTGGAAATGCAATCTGAACATTTTCCTGTGTAAGTGGTAAACATTTAATGGATGTAAGATAAAACTTTGGAGGAGATATTTATATAATTTCAACTGCAATAGTCAGTTGAAATTTTCAATCCTTTAATTGTATTTTGATGAATTTTAGGATTTATTTTTTACACTACTGAGGCCTTATAAGTTGCTTATTTTACTTGATGAGGAGAAAAAAGTAGCTTATATACTCAAACCATTCCAAACTAATGTTTTTTTTAAGTTTGTTCAATAAGATAGTATTCTAATTACCAGTAAAACTTTAGCAATAAATTTTATTTTTTAGTTTGAAGATTGTGTCAATATATCATTCTAATGGAAAGACTTGTATATAACAATTGGAATACAAGATAGAAATCATTTTCTCGTAAATTATTGTTAGCATGTAAAATAAAAAGAAAGAAAAAACCTGAAGAATGTTAAAAAAAAAAAAATTCTTAAGACTCCGCTAGTGATGACAATCGAGCCGAGCGGCTCGTCGGCTCGTACTGTAGCGATCCACGAGCCGCTCGGGCTCGTCAAAAAACGAGCCCGAGCTCGAGCCGAGCGGACCCGTTCATAGACGAGCCGAGCTCGGCTCGGC